TGACGGACAGTTCTTTGGTTTGAGCTTTAAGACAAGTTGAATGTTTACTCCAACAGTGCCATAGATGCCATAAGAACGCTACTAGGGGCTCCTGGCATCGCTACTAGGAGCAAGGACACTACTAGGGGCTCCTGGCCTTACTAGGAACAAGGCATCGCTACTAGGAACAAACTCTAAGCAAAGCACCAGGGGCAAGGCGATTCCGATTCACATTGTCAGGATGTGTCCTCTGGGACGGTATCTCAGTCTTGCTTTGTGACAGTGCTTCGGAATTGAGTTCGGTCAGACTGGGTCTAGGCCAAACCCGTGTAGATTTTGGGACTTGACAATCATGTTATGTTTTGTTTTGGGGGGCCATCGCTACTAGGGTGGAGGCCATGGCTACTAGGTTGGAGGCCATCGCTCGTTTATTGTTTTGTTTTTGTTTGCTTAAACTTTGCTTCAAACATCTTCAGACTTCCAGGTTTGACTTGACAAGCTGAGGTTTGATGAGGGAGCCGTGCTGTCAAGCAGCTCCTTCAAAGATTTCACACCAATGCCTGGGGAAATCACACCATCCATACCAGGAGGCAGAGTTTACAAAACGGTTTCTTTAAACGATGAAGAACTACGAAGAAAATAGAGAGGAAAGGAACCGAAAGGTCTCCGAAAGATCTAAAGCTAAGTTTTCTACAAAACTGAAGCGTTTCGACCATGGCATCCGAGCCTTTTGCATCCGGATAACGCTGTAGCTTCCTTTTCTCTTGTTTTACTTGCTGTGGCTGCACCTGCTTCTCCTACCCCCATCTAAAAAAGAAACGTACAACAAAGATGACAAAGGCAAGAAGCTCTTTCTTTTAAAGCATGATCTAAAGACCTTTGCTACCTTTGGCTGACAGCTGACCTCAATTCATCTTATGTCTTCGACGTCTCTAGGGAAATGAGAGAATGCCATGTCGGTAATGGCAAAACAAGTTGACCCAACAACGGTTCTCTTAGACCTACAAGTAGTTCCCGGGCAAGCCGGCGGCGGAAGTTTCCTATAAGAACAAGTTGACCTATAGGAGTGTCCCGGTTCTTTCCACCATGCGTGTCCCTCGTGTCCCTCAGTCAGAGCTGCTGGAGCTAACTGGAGCTAGAGCTATTGAAACTAGAGCTAACTGGAGCTAGAGCTATTGAAACTAGAGCAAATGATGATGATGATGAGTGATGAGTGAAGCATAGCTCTAGCTCTAGCTCCGCTAAAGCTAACTGGAGCTAGACGTTAACTATGATGTGATAGCTTGTCTAGACACGAAGCTAATTAGCTCAAATTTGTCAACCTCTCAAAACACATGTTTTGAGGTCTCCAGAAAGTAATCGAAATGAGCACTTTTGAGTAAGCAAAGTAGCTAAAATTTGTCAACCTCTCAAGAGAGCCGGGTGGTCGGGAGACATGACTCAGCTGCAGGGGCGCCAGAGCAGCCGCGAGAGATGACTCATCCGCGTACTACAGTTGTACTACAAAGTCGCCAGTTCTCAGCTTCCAGCTCCACAGATTGCTCCGCGCACTAAAGTTGTACTAGAAAGTCGCCAGTTCTCATCTTCCAGCAGCTTCCAGCTCCACAGATTGCTCCGCCTACTAAAGTTGCACTACAAAGTCGCCAGTTCTCATCTTCCAGCTCCGCAGATACTCCGCGTACTACAGTTGCACTACAAAGTCGCCAGTTCTCATCTTCCAGTTGCACTACAAAGTCGCCAGTTCTCAGCTTCCAGCTCCACAGATGCTATGCCTGCCACGAAATCTGCACTTTGAGGTTCACACAGCGCTGCGCGCGCTACGAAATCTGCACTTTGAGGTTCACACAGAGCGCTGCGCCTGCCACGAAATCTGCACATCGAGGTTCACAAAGTGCTGTGCCTGCCACGACATGTGCACATGGAGGTTCACAAAGTGCTGTGCCTGCCATGAAATCTGCACATGGAGGTTCACAAAGCGCTGCGCCTGCCACGAAATCTGCGATGGAGGTTCACAAGGTGCTGCGCCTGCCACGAAATCTGCGCATCGAGGTTCACAAAGCGCTGCGCCTGCCACGACATCTGCTCTTTGAGGTTCACAAAGTGCTGTGCCTGCCACGAAATCTGCGCATCGAGGTTCACAAAGTGCTGCGCCTGCCACGAAATCTGCACACGGAGGTTCACACAGTACTGCGCCTGCCACGAAATCTGCACATGGAGGTTCGCAAAGCGCTGTGCCTGCCACGAAATCTGCACTTTGAGGTTCACACAGCGCTGCGCTTGGTACGAAATCTGCACATGGAGGTTGACAAAGTGCTGCGCCTGCCACGGAATCTGCACATCGAGCTTCACAAAGTGCTGCGCCTGCCACGACAGCTGCACATGGATCACAAAGTGCTGCGCCTGCCACGAAATCTGCACTTTGAGGTTCACAAAGCGCTGCGCCTGCCACGAAATCTGCAAAACCTGACAAACATCGCGAACACCTGAAACCGCCGCGCCACTGCGGAACCGGTCCGTCCATGATCCGACCATGGCGCGAGACCGTCCGGAAACCGTCGTTCCGCGGAGCTTCCCCGTCGAGGTTCGGAGAAGCATGGAGGCTCACAAAGTGCTGCGCCTGCCACGAAATCTGCGCATGGTGGTCACAAAGTACTGCGCCTGCCACAAAATCTGCACATGGAGGTTCACAAAGTGCTGCGCCTGCCACGAAATCTGCACTTTGAGGTTCACACAGCGCTGCGCGCGCCACGAAATCTGCGCATGGAGGTTCACAAAGCGCTGCGCCTGCCACGAAATCTGCACATCGAGGTTCACAAAGTGCTGTGCCTGCCACGACATCTGCACATGGAGGTTCACAAAGTGCTGCGCCTGCCACGAAATCTGCACTTTGAGGTTCACAAAGCGCTGCGCCTGCCACGAAATCTGCACATCGAGGTTCACAAAGTGCTGCGCCTGCCACGACATCTGCACATGGAGGTTCACAAAGTGCTGCGCCTGCCACGAAATCTGCTCTTTGAGGTTCACAAAGTGCTGCGCCTGCCACGAAAAATGCAAGTTGCACATGTGTGAAACGAAGCAATGCTGCGAGACTTCCTTCCAAAATGCAACTTGCAAAGGTATGAACCGAAGCATTTCCGCGACACTTCCATGCAACTTGCAGACAATGGTAGAACAATGAATTGGAGCTACAGATCAGTGGTAGAACCATGAGCTAGAGCTACAGATCAATGGCAGAACAATTGACTAGAGCCAGAGCTAGAGATCAATGGTAGAACAATGAACTGGAGCTAGAGATCAGTGGTAGAACAATTGACTAGAATTACAGCTAATGTAAATGTTCGTAACCCGGAAGTTCCTCTACCTTCCTTTGATGAGAGAGTCTTTGTTCCTTTTCTCACGGATGTTTTTGTCCTTCCTTGTTTGGACCTTCCATTATTTTTGCTTCATTGTATTTCTTCATAGAAAAATAACTGCAATGGCGGTAGTGAAGCATTCAGCATTTATATATAAATATTGATATATATATATTCTGGTAGTTAAGTGACCTTGTATGGGCAGTAGTGAGACATCAATCTGATATGCAGATTTCATGTTGATGGTCCCGTTCTGTACGCATTCCGGAGGCAAAACACCTGCTCTCACTGGGGCGCAGACCCCTACTCTTGTGCCTACCGATACAGTGCGAACAAGCACAGAGGCTCAACTAAACGAGAAGCTAAGCACAGATTGCTTCCTGCACTCAAATTGTTTGATTTGTTTTCTGGTTCGACACATTGTCGGTGTGCAGGAAGCAAGCACTTTAGCCTCGTCACAGAGGACGCTTTCGGTGCCGCCAGTCTCAGCTTCGATTCCCACAGAAAGCATATCAGATCGTCAGGGGCACAGAGAGTTTGCAACCGGCGTTTGACATTGGTTCTCGCGTTGAGTCTCACTCACGTTGTTTTTCGTTCTCTTCTCACGTCGTTTCGTGCCGATTTTGGATGCTAACAGAATCATCATATAACACGGAGGTCCTCTCCAGTCGGACCATCCGAATCAACATGATGTCCTTTCTTCATTGGATCATGCTGAATTCATGCCCTTCAAGCGCACGCGTGCAGTGTGATCAGCGGCAGCATTTTAGAAACATTTCCACAAAGAGCACACATCATAGATTTGGCCACAACTGGATCGGGTAACCTGAGATTCGTCTAATTACTAGACAGAGAAGGACCAATTACTTGCCAAGCCAAGCTATTCCTTTGAGGTGGTTGGCTTCTGTGATGTTGCGCGCGTATGTTCACAAATTGTCGTACACTCGAAAACTCATTTCAACAAAAGTAGCTTTGAGTCCGGCCCGAGTCCGGCGCAAGGGTAGTTTTTGGGAAAAGGTATTTTGGACAACCCCCATATGTAACCTGCAAAGGGCATCGCTACTAGAAGCAGGGACGCTACTAGGGGCTCCTGGCCGTACTACTAGTAACAAGTAGCTACTTGGAGCAAAGGGCATCACCACTAGGAGCAAAGGATGCTACTAGGAACACTGTAGCTACTTGTGTTTGCCCTAAGTTTTGATGAACTGTTTGTTCTCGCTCCCGCGCCAGCACTCACCCAGTCTCACCCAGGTGGTGGCAGACCCCGCTTGGACCTTCCCGAGCCTCCGGTTCTTCCTGAGCCTCCAGTTCCTTCAGCTTCTGAGGCTCGCGTTCGGCACAGCCGGTCTTAATCGAAGCTTTGCTCCAAGCGTGTCTGATCACTCTTCCTGGCAGGCACATTTACGTTGGAACCTAAATTGCAATCGATTTTGCTCAAGTCCAACCATGACATGCTAAGGTCCTGCAGTGCGCTCTCGTCAACGTGATCATTCTCGTATTCACGTCTATGTGCATGCTATGTCTTGAGCTCGCAAGACGTTGGGTGAGTGTATTGGCGCATCACTTGAGCTTCGCTTGCACAGATTGGCTCCAGCCAGTGGCCGACAAACATGTTGATGTAGAACATCGTAGGACATTAGATGCTCGTGCCCAAAGCTTCAAGTGACACTTGAAAATTACTGCAATTTTCCGCAATGACTCTCCCAAGCCAATTGCCGCAATTGCCTGAATCCCCGTGGTCTGGCGCTGAGACAGAGTCAAAAAAGTGGGCACCATCAAACGTGCTCCGCAGAGGTGGCTTCCCTGGTGCTCACTAATGGTGATGCTGGAGGCGTGTGTCTAAACATCCTGAAGGAAAGGGAAAAAGAACGAGGATTCCTTTTTTGGGAAGGAGGCCGCTCAAAGGTAAGAGCAAGTGAGTGAGTGAGTGAGTAAGTAGCTAGGTAGGTAGGTAGGTAGGTAAGTAAGTAAGTAAGTAAATAAGCAAGAAGAGTAAGTTACTTATCGTAGCTGGGACGCAGGAAGGCAGGAGGAGCTTCCTTGAACAACCCTCGTACTGTTCATTTGGTTCCAAGAATTGTTTGGGGAAACTTAACTATAGTTAGCAAGGACTAGTCACAAGAAGCTTCTTTCTTTCTTTCTTTACACCTTTCGATTTGTTCCTCTTCCTTTTCTCAGAAAAGCTGCAAATTGCTCCAAAAGCATTTTCTGTGATGCGACGCGTGGAACCTTCTCTTTCTCTAGATACATATATGTGTTCTTTCTTCCCTATCGACCATTCTCTCTTCCTTCCTTCTACTCTAGTGCAATTAGGTCTCCATATGCATTGATGTCGTTTGCGAATGTAATTTGCTTCCTGTTTATGGTAACCGAGTTTTTTAACCGTCTGTCAGCATCAAAATGGTGTGCAGACTGGATCTCTCGGATCTTCGAACGTGCTATCGCCGTCGCCAAGCACTTTGGCACAAGTTTCGAAACCATCGCCGTGCTTCGTCCAAGTACGAACGCCTTTCCCACTGTCCCAGCTCACCCTGAAGTCACACTGCTCAAACGAACACGCTTCTTTTTGGGAGGGGAGGTAGGCCTAGAAGGTGAGCGACCAGCTAATAGAAGCTGAAGTAGTTACTAGGGCCTGGGTGCAGAAGGGTTCCTCTTCGCATTGATTTGGATTGATTGAAAGTGAACTTGCCGTGCTGTGCCGCTTGGTGCCACTCTTTGTTCGCTCTTGTCAGCCAAATTGTGCTACCCTTCGCAACCAGCCCTCGCCATGACCATGCACTTGCTTCAGTGAGCAACACTTACCAAAACCATCCTTGTCCCTGTTCGAGGCCGATTTTACCAGGGCAAGGCACCTGTGAGCAGGAGTAATACCAACATGCAAACATTCTTGGTAGAGATTTGATTTAATTGAGGAGATAACATATTGACAAGGAGGGTTGCAGGTGTCCATCAACGTGTAACAACTGGCAATAGATATGAATAGATGTGGACCTGGTGTTTGCACTTCCAACAAGATGCAAGAAGCTGCAAGATCAGACAGTCTAGCTGGCAAAATAAGACGCAAGCATGCCTGAAACTTTATATTTGTTTACCTGGATTGTGTTCTTTGTCCGCAGCTTCTTTCCAGCTTAGCATGTGCCACCAATGGAAGACATGTGAACTATGGTTGAAGACCTGTGGTCGTGAGCTCTTCTTCAGCTCCGCACCTCACCACCTCACCCACCCACACGCTAGTCGACCAAAAGTAAAGGTGTAAGAAGAGAGATCCGAGATGAAAAGAAAACAAAGCAAAGGTAAGGAAAGAAAGGAAAGAACAAAGAAAAGAAGCAAACAAAATGCAGAGAAGAAGCGAAAAAGGGAAAAGGAACAAGAGGTGTGAAAAAAGAAACCAATTGCTTCCTACAATAATGTGAAGTTCCCAATCAATCATGCGAGGGCTTCTTCAAGGAAGCTCCTCCCCGCCTAGAAAAGCCAACAAAGCCACCTCGACTCTTACTTGCTTAGCTTGCTAGCCGACTTGTTACTCCGGCTCCCCCCAAATGGTTTCGATGTCTAAAGCGGAGGAACCTGGGCAGGTCCTGGAGGTGGGACCTGGAAGAACCCGACATTTATCAACCTTCATCGACGTTACTGCGTTGCCGTTAACCTACTTGAGTATTGGTGTTTTTTCCTTAGACCATTTTTTCGGTTTTTATTGTCTTTCTTGATGGTACTCCTTGGTAAGTATGACTCCTACATCTATCAGATTACGCCTAATTACCGGTGCGCTTCAGCGGTACGTTAAGTTTTGTTATAAAGCGAAAAGGAGCGGTGTTTGTTTGGCGATGTCTTACAGTGAAGATACTATTCTCTGTTTTCTTGCACATCGTGGCGCCTTCTTTTGCTTACTGCTTAGTGCTTGTAGCTTCCTACTTAGCAATAGTTGACCTTCAATTGCCTTTCACCTTGCTGGTCGTGGCTACTAAAATTGTTTCTTTGGATGTGTTTTTCCCTCACTTGCACTTTCAAGGCTGCCGTTTTGATTGTTTGGGCCCTCGTCTACATCACTCGAAGGATGACGAAGTCGGTGTGGAGCTCACCGTTTGACCTCGCCAAAGACAGATTCAAATGCGGTGTCAACAGTAACAGATTCCTCCAAATTGTGTCGGAGAACTATGGAGAACTGATTTGCAATCCAATTTGCGAATTAGTGGAACGAGGTGCCTGCTGACAGTTTAGAGCTCTCAGCGACAAAGGAAAATCAGGATGAGGCGAGATCGTCATTCAAGTGTCCAAAAGTTCTATGTTCATGCGTTTTTTTGTTTTTGCATTTGTTATTCGGAAAGTTGCTGTGCAAATTTGGAAGACACTGCCACAGTCACCTCACCTGGTCCTGACGAATGCTTCACCCTGTGGACCACCTGCCTCATCCCGTCCCTGGACAGCAAATGAGAGGAGGAAGCAAAGCAAACGAGTAAGAAACGTGAGGTTCAGGCAAAGCAAGCCTTGAAATACTGAATTTACATTGTTTAGAGACAAATGCGAAAGAGCTTAAGCAGTGAGATCGTGAGGTTCAGACAATGTGGAGCCTGTTAGTTTTGACAGCGGCATTTGTCACGGATCTTGGCTGTGTACACGCCTCAATAGAAAAGCCTGACCAGCTTTTGTTGGCTTTGAGACATATGCTGGCACAAGGTGTTCACAAGCCAACTTATGCCGTGGGCTCAGAGTCAAAGGTAGATAAGCCATGAATATCAATCAAAATTGCGCACAGGTATGTCAAGCACTTTTGTCGAATTGTACGTCATTTCACTCTTTTTTGTGTGAATAGTGGACTGCATGTCAGGAACCTGACCGCATGGCAAGCGGCAAGTACCCTCTAGCAGAGCACTTGCACGAGAGGCTTTCATGGTGATGTGCGTTGTGAGTGTGACCGCTTTCCTGCCGAGTCCAACAAAAGTGTCAGAAGAAATAAAGGCTAAAAGGTAGACAAAAAGGAAAGAAAGATGAAAGGTCTAATAGAAGGCCTAAACAATAGTCTAAAACAAACTGTTTAAAGGTGAGTTGGCCCAAAGAAGCACTTTTGAAAGTTATGGACCTATGGAAACCTCTTTTCTCAGTGGATTTACTGCAACGCAGCGGAGTTTAGTTGAGTAAACTCAAAATTGGTAGCAATTGGAAGCATTTTATTCCAGGAAGCGCTTGTGGGAGTGGCGCTTGCAGCTGCGATTTCGTGACAGTGTGCCTTGGAAACGTGAGGTCTTCTTTTTTCAATTGTGCAATTGTTTCTATATACGTTCGCTTCTTGTTACTACTAGTAAGGCACTTGTTACTAGTAGCGATGCACTTGTTACTAGCGAACATTGCTCCTTTGTTCAGATTCGGCCGACTGTATGGGACCCCTCCGAACATCATAGTTTGCACAAGTATGTTTGAGCTATGGAGCACTAGATCTTGCACCAATGCAAAGGTGTCGCATTCAGCATGTGAATATTCAATAGTCTTAGGACAGCTGTTTGTCTATGTTTGGTGATTTTGCCATACCAGAGATGCATGTTGGGAGGGCAGTAGCAGTTGTGTATTCCCGGTTGTTCTGCATTTTCTAACAAATTGTTCATATGGGTGGTAGTTGGGGAGTTGAGAAAGCCGGTTTCTTACCAAGTTTGCATGCCTGTCCGTCAAATCGACAATGCGTTGCTTGGTGCTGTGAGTTTTGCCAGGTCAGCGCAGACAGTGTGTACTTCGGATGCGAGCAAGACCGCTACTACCATGTAGGAACAGCGTGTATCTCAGACAAGACCTGACCACGCCTGATGCTGTATCAGTGTGCAGTGGCCTGCTTGTCAAGGTTGAACGCTACATCTCGAGCTCCGTGATATCTCTTTTAAGGCCTTTTGCAACAATTTTGCTGATTTTGGTCTCAATATTCCTGACTGAGGCATGCCTCTGCAGACAACATGTTCGAGCCCTAAAGTTTGACTACCAGACCTGGCAGGACCCATTCCGCAACTGTCCAAATAGCGCGAAGTCCCCAATAGTTGAGGTTCTGAAGATAGAGAAAATAAAACAACTGGTTTTGCAAAAAGTAAACAGGTGAATGTTCAAAGGTGTTCATGTGTTCGGACAGCACCCAAGCACAATGAAAGCCTTGCGCACACGTAATGAAGCATGATATAACAAAAACCATTCGCAAATCTACTTTACGTTCAAATGATTCTGCTGTCCGAACTATTACTGTAGTAACAGTTTAACAAGGGCATCGCCACTAGGAACAAGTAGTTTACTACTACTAGTAGCTAGAAGCTACTAACTACTAGTAGCGTTAGTAGCGATGCACTTGTTCCTAGTAGCGTCTTTTGCTCCTAGTAGCGATGCCCTTTGTTCCTAGTAGCGTCCTTGCTCCTAGTAGTACACATTTCTGAGACTTGGAAGTCGTTTGTTTTGCGTCGTACATTCGTACATGTCTTGAACAATTACAATAGCAGAAATGCTCACACCACATGCCAGCAACACCCTGAACAGGGCACATACCAAGTCGATGTAAAGGGAGGAAACGGAAATTCCTGCGAAGTGTTCACATGACGAAAGATTCACTGCTGACCAGAGTTCCGCCAGATTAGATCTTGAACTTCGGGAATGGCTTTGTCTTGTCTGTGCCATCTCACAAGCGAATAGAAAGGGCTAACGCCCTAGTGCCGCCGACCCCAGTCAGTGGGCCATAAGCCAGGGAGGACAGGATGTGGGAGAGGATGGCGCACGCAACAGTAGAAGCCAGGAGAGTTTGCTTTGGAAAGAGTTTGGGGGAGGCATGGGACGCGTGTGGCACGCTTACCTCCAAAACCATGAAAACATGACTGAAAGGACCCACACGATCTGGCTACAGCTTGTTTCAGCAGGGAGTGCATCTTGTGCATCCGGGTTCAAAAGTCAAATTCAAGGTATCAGACTCATGGAGAGGATCCTGCGCTAGAACCTTAGAACAAATCGAGACTGAAAGAGACAAAAAATTCAAGAGATGTTTACAGCTGTCAAAGCAGAAATTGAAGATTGGAAGGACGCTACTAGGAGCAAAGGGCATCGCTACTAGGAACAAGGACGCTACTAAGGGCTCCTGGCATCGCTACTAGGAACAAGAAACTAATAGAAACAAGAAGTAAATAGATTGGAGCTTCCCGCACAAGGTCTGTCCACGGTGAGGCTGAACGCCCAACGATCGCCTTTCCACTGTGGGTTCGGAGCTCTAAATAGAATGTGATTCAAAGTCCAAAAGCATTTAGACAAAAACGAATCATGATGACAAAGTCCTTTGGAGGCGATGATAGTGGATTTCTGGAGTCTTCAGGTCATGGATCAGTTGATAATCACCGAAGAGGGTGAGGAAGCGCCAAAGCTAAATGTTGGAGCCCTACGCAACATGCTTCCTGCATGGTCAATTTGCATTGCACCCAGATGCTTGCAAAAGGCACTTTGCTAGTGTTTTTCTGAAAGTCTAGTAACAAGAAGCTATTAGGAACAAGTGCCTTACTAGTAGTAACAGGTGCCTTACTAGTAGTAGCAAGAAGCTATCATTTCATACAGTTCTTCCACGGAGTTTCCCATCTCTTGGAAGCGGGGCAGCCTTGAACAACCCGTAGCTGTAGGCTTGCTTGCATGGGGTAGCTTCCAAGCTTACCATAGTTGCTACTTATCCCTACCCCCGACCTCTTCGGGCCCTACCCGCTCCCCTTACCTGAACGCAGTGATGCAGAATTGAATTCTCGATTTCATGTATGTTTCATTCGTGCTCTTGATGCTTTGGAATGCTCAAATATGTGGGCGCTCTTATGTGCATATGTGTGTGTTGGTGTAAGGGGTCGTTCGTGTGTACTACCCTTTGTGAGTATTAATCGGTGTGCTCCCTTCACACCGACTGCATTCAGCCGATCCGGTGTTTCGTGCGTTCCACATCGTTCGTGCTCCCAGATATTTCACTTCCATGTTTCGCCGCCACTCAACAGATGTGATGTAAACAGACAGAATTGCTACCGCCTGTATTTTACTCATACTGTGATGGGTCGCCTCCTGGTAGAGTCTTATAGATTTGAGACGAAGATCGGAGAAACAGCTCTTTCGAGTACCCTTAGAACATTGGTACAATTTGGTGTAAGAAATGATTTCATTTCGATACCCTGATACCCAAGTGGTTTTTGCAGGGGTTGCTGATGGTTGCTGTTTCCCTTTTGTTTGGAGCAACCCTGTTTCGTCGGTTTGTTGAAGGTTTGTTATCGATTCTGACAGGTCGTTCAATGCTCAAAGATGTCTCATATCGTGTTCATTTTTCGAACTTGAACTCTTCGACTTCGGTTCGCAACGGTTTTTTTGCGCATGGATCGAAGTGGTGAAATCGGTTTGATGGGCCACAGCAAAATCCATGTGTTACCAATCTGCCTTTTTTTCCAAAAAATGCTGTATTTCTTGCTTCCTTGCTTCCACCCATACGCAGTGGCGTTCTTGGGACATGCGAAAGGCTAAGCCGGCCCCCTGTGTGCGTTCAAAGTAAGAGGTTACACATGTCAGGGCAGAGATGGTAAATTCGGTAAATGGGTAAAATCTTTAAATTCGATGCATTGCTGCACATCGGAAATTTGGTAAAGTCAGTAAATCGGTTAATTGGTAAATGTTGTAAATTTATATACGGTGTTTACCCTTTTACCGCGCGCTGTGGTGTCCTAGGGTGCATCAAAAACAGCAAAGGCAGAAAACAGCCAGCAAACACAACAGAGCAGCATGTGCGTGTACATTTCGTAGGTAATCAAGCCTGTGTGCAAAACGCTACAAACAAGGAAACGGTGCGCACGTGGATTTGCAAAGGAAAAGACTAATAGAGCACCAAATGCATCCGTGCATCACTCAATCCGTGTGTGTTCAGCTTTGCTCGACTCGGATTCAGGGCAAGCGCCTGGTCAAGCCTACAACTTGACGAAGTCTGTTCACCTCCTCGAAGAGAAGATGCAGATTTTTAGATCTGAACCAAAGACAGATAAACTCTTGCTTTGAACAGATTTGCCGTTTACTGTTTTACTCCTCGCTTTACCCCGCGCTTGTATGTGCTCGACATTGTACCGTTTTAACGCAGGCCTTTGCAACGGAAACTCCATAACCAAAAGACACACCGCGAGCCAGCACAGCTGGCACCTGCACATTGTGCAAAAAAACTAAAGCATCAAAACTGACATTGTTAGTTATTTGGCTGACGCTCAAATTGAACATCGTCATCGAACTTTGGTAGGGTCAAAAATTAAACCAAACTTCTATCACGAAGCAAAATGATTTGCGTAACCACAACAGCGAACGTCAGCTGATGCGTGAATTTGAAGCAGCGTCGTAAAATCAAAGCAAATAGCATAGAAAAGCAACCTTCCCAAAACTCTACAACATGTTTTTCCCGATGCGAAAGGGAATTTTGACTCGCCGCTCTCTTCACTGGCCTGCAGGCAGGACAAAAGTGCTGCAAATATGCAACAAAATCACCAAACTGTAGGCGGTTTGCGGGCTATGGTCCAAGTACTTAAGTACTTACAAGAGAGTGCTTCTTCCCCCTCAGAATTGTTTCCTGATTCCTTCTGATCTCCAACCTCCCATGTTCAATCCTTACTTCCGTTCCCCGTCCTACCCCGAGGCTTTTGAAAGAATTCTTTGGAAAAGGCTACTTTGCTTGTCCTCTCGACCTCCAGGATCCAGACTTTTCAACCTACGGAATAATCCGTGCGCAGAACAGAAAGGGCATGCAGGAGGCCATTCCAACTTCAACGTGTGCTATTCCTTTGTGTGTTGTTGCTTTCCTCTTTGCATGTTTGTGTGGCCTATTTTCAGGCCTTGAATGGCCTCGAGTTCAAGCCAGGGCGCACATTCACATTCGGCCGCTTGTCGGGAATCGATGGGAGCCGAGTTGGGAGCCCGAGTCGGGAACCCGAATGAAAACAAGATGTTTGCCTCAATACCAGAGGTCGTTGAATCCCAAAACTAAGCTCTCAGGACTTAAAAGCAAGGCCTTTTACGGGTGCCAATTTCTTGTCTCTGTTTGTTCCATGGTATGCGCGTTGATACAGATTTATCCTGGGATATGTGTACTGGTGGAGTCAGTTGCTCCACAGTCATGCATCCAGGGCTACAGAAACAGTGTACTTGCGCACCGATCAAGGCTTTTGGTGTATTGCACAATTTGTGGATGCCATTGGTTGGAGAGTGCCAGTCACTCAGATCCACTCAGTGCCAGTCACTCCATACATTCACTCCATGGCGTTCCCGTCAGGCCAGCGAGGGGCGTAATTCCTGAAGTCAAGCTCAATGAAATTGGTACTCACCCGTCGAACACCGAGAGAACAGCATCAAGTCGACGTCAGAGCTATACAGTTTGTGTGCAGTATATCAAGGTATATGTTCAGACATGTTTTTTTAAGATGTAGTATACATGTTTTGGTATGTGTGGCCTTTTGAAAAAAATATTAAAGACCTATCGAAGACTTTCTATTGTCGAAGCCTCCTTGCACTGCACATCACGTGTTCAGTGCTGTGGTATGTGTTCGTTTTCTTTCTTTCCTCGTGCTGTTGTTCTTTCAACCTTTGGACCTTTCTTTCTTGTCCTTTTCAAGATCTTTGTCTTGGTCTTTTTTATTATGTTGCTTTCTACCTACATGTTGTTCTTCATGTCACTTCTTTCTGTTTCTTTTCTGTGCGATGCTTTTGCAAAACACCGCAACGAGGCCAATCTACGTGACAATGTATTTACTCCGTCCACAGGATCAATGGACAGATGCCTCTTGGCAGGATTATGATTATGGAGATAGTATAGGTTGTGCCATGCAAGTGCTGAACGCTTGAAACGTTGCAAAAGCATAGAAAGGAAAACAAGGAAAGGACAGAAGGATACAGAAGGTAAAAGATTTTGTTTTCTCTTTCTTCTTGTGCCCCAACAGATGTCCTGAAACTGCAACCTTGCGTCGATGGTGACATCAGGTGCAGGGGCGTCGTGACACTCGACACTTGGACTCCAGGCAGGAAATTCGAGACGAAAAGATACTCGTCGAAAGGAAAAGAAAGAAAGAAAAGCACAAGAAAACAAAGAATTCTCGTCCAAAAGTCAGCAGCTAGGTATTGCGTTCCACGTTCAGCCTTTTTTGTGAAGAGTGTGTGTATCTTTTCATTTTGACACACCAACCTCAAGGTCTGGTCTGGAGTCAGAAGTGCATTTGTTGTCAATCAATTTTCAGAAGTAGATTTGTACATAAGATTTTCTTGTTTCCTCGTGTCTTTTTCTTTACAGGAAGATTTACATTTGGCGTGTCTCACTTTGGAGCTCTGCTCTGCCACCACCGTTGGAGCGCCAAAAGGACTGACGTTGACAGACTCAGTTCACAAATGAAAGAAACAATAAAGAGACGACCAAAGGACTTCGTCTCTTTGGTTGGTTTTGAAGTCAAGAGACGAAAGGTCTTTGCTGTTTGTCTTTCGGAAAAGGTCACCTTGTTGTCTCGTTGTCCAGCGGTGATCAAAGTTCCTCCGACATCTCTTCCTAGATTCAGTTCTCACAGAGCAGATCGAGGTGGACAAGATGGATGAGAGGGGCGTCGTGTTCCAAAAAAGGGCTTCCTTTAGTGCAGGTCCTTTTTCTGATCAGTTGGGCGCGACCAGTGGCACATCTGTTCCAGGGATGCCTGTTGCCTGGGTTGGGTGACAATGGAGGCTGTACCCGTGCTGGGCACAGTACCGGCTTCCACAAGGTTCCTGGAAGATTACTTCTGCTTGCGCGGTGCTTATCCTCTTTGTGCTTACCTTGCCCTTTGTAGAAGGGAAAGCATCCTTGGGCGAAAGGGAAAGCCAGCCACACTGTCGTTGCAAGTGGAGTCTAATGGCTGTGAAGTTTTGAAAGCGAAGATGTTGTCGGAAGCTTCAAGTGACAGAGCGACTACACGGCGACTAAGTAATACCATGTCACCAGGGTGTCAGGAAAACTGAAGGAGGAAGGCCATGGAAGAGTCGCCAGGGAAATGTTGTCAGACTTTGCAAGACTTGTTTGATTGTTTTATGTGTATGTTTGTTGTTTTCTTTCCCCAGTTCTTTCTTCCTTGGTAAAGACTTTTAAATGTTTTTGATTTGAGAGGAGCTCCAAGGCGCTGCTTTTCATCGGCGACGTATGCTGTCTGCAGATGGCACGGGGACCTGGGAAAGCAAGGCGAAACGTGATGGAACCAATTGCCGCTTTATCTCAGAGGTGGTGAGATGCAGGTGCTTGGGCACGTTCACTGTCCCAAGCTGGATGTCATAGCTGTTGAGATCCCCCTTCCCACGACGAGCACAAAGTGCTGCAATGTGATTTGCTCAAGGAGTCTCAAGCATAGAAGCAAATGCCCCTAGTAGCGATGCCAGGAGCCCCTAGGAGCGTCCTTGCTCCTAGTAGCAGCTTGAGCGGTGTGGCCACACGAACACCACGAACTCCAACAGTCACAACCACCCGCAGCTAATTGTCGACGCTTTCATGTTTAAGGCGACTGGCGACTGAAGCTACTAGGAGCAAGGACGCTACTAGGGGAGAAACAAGCATTAGAATGCTGAAACTTAGTGAGTCCAACGGCGTACCAGTTGGAGGCAGACAATGGGGGAGTTGGTTGCATGCGCCAGCCCCGGCAAAAGGACGACTGCGTTTGCCTAAAGGGTAACATTTTTGAATGGTTCTGAATGGCCATTGAATAGTGTGTACAGTGGTCGGTTCCTTCAGAGTTTTGCAGTGTTCCAGCCGTCTCTCCGTTCTCTTTGTTCAAGTCCTGCACATCCATCGTGCCAAACCGAGCGAAGGTGCCACTGTTCCAAGCGATAGCGAAGACAAAAAGGCACCCTTCAGGAAGGAGAGAATCTAGACAATGTCTACAATGGTTCAAACATGTTTTCAAGACTTTACAAGGGCATTTCGACGTGATAGGTTCGAGTGAATGGATATCACTACAAAACGTTCCCCTACACCCCCTACCCCACTTCGCGATAAAGCAATTTGACACCCAGCTTCAGTTGTTCAGTTGGTGTTGATCTTGTAGGAGCTGCGAGCTACCCTTTGATCCAAGATGCTAGTTTCTTGCTAGTTTGATTCCAAATTGTGTTCCTACAGGCTTTTGCCGTCAACACTGCATGCTATAAAAGGCCATTAAGCACATAGACCACAATGAAGCAGTGTGTATGTCAATGTACATGCATGTATGCCCAACATACATCCGTTTTATGACAAGGAAGAAATGGTGTTCTTCCATGGACATCCAGGATGTTGTTGTTTCTCATAGTCGTTCCTCGCCACTCAAGTCACTTGGTGGACTAGACCAGGCGTTTTGGTGGTCTTTTCGTGTTTGCTTTCGTACTTGGGCATGTTTGAGTTGCTACTTGCTGAACTTTGACCATGTGAGCGTGTGTTGGCGGGTGTGAATCCTGTTCCCAAGGACCTCGCTTGTTCAAACGCCACAATTTTCCACTCACTTCCGAGCATTGGTCTCAAGATGTCTCAAGTGTGTCAACTTCGAGGAAAGCCCCTCCCTTCGCTCCACCCGCTTCTGGGATTAACCTTGGTTGGTCCGGGAGATTTACTAACTTCTTCGTCTAATGCAGCAACTATAAAAGGCTACGGAGTTCTCAGCAATTTACTGCAGCATGCTCCTTCCGATCTCCAATCTTTAACTTGTGAATGACCTGCTCTTATTTTCCGCTTTCTGGGGCTCTTTTGCATCTCATCACATATTTTAACCTAATAGCAAAAGGAACCTAATAGCAATGGCCTCCCCCTAGTAGCACCGGTTTTGGGAATGTGATGTTAGACGGAGTTTCATTTCGATATATCGTTGATTTCTCGGCCCCGACTGATCCGGCCGACCATGTCGACGCTAGTCATGTAAGAACAGTGGCAAACACTTGTACTGTGAATTTATTTAAGCTGCCTCGAGGTGAAGCAAAGTCAAATCCTTTGTGCGCCTTCCCTTCCTTTCCATGTCCTTGGTGAGGCTGGCCAAAAATTGGGAATTGTTTGAAGAATTGCAGAAGTACATAGAAGTACTACTAAGAGCTCCTGGCATCGCTACTAGGAGCAAGGATGCTACTAGGGCTCCAAGGACTCTACTAGTAACAAGAAGCTACTAGTTCTTGTGACAAGGTGGTTTGAAGCGTGCCAACATGACAGTGACAGGCACAATTCGTTTTGCAACGCCAACGCGGTTGTTCAGAGCCGAAGTGCTCAATGTTTCCCTGGACCCAGACAGTGACATTGGCTCCTGCATATTTTCAGCTAGGGTCCACATTGCATATCACGAGTGTCCCATTTGTTTGTAGCTCTCAAGAACGATCATTTCAGAAAGCCCCAAGGACACCTCAGGATTTTTCCTTTCACAAGCTGTCGAGAAGATGTTTGGAGTGCGATGCGCGTAGGGGATCCAGCGTCTTTTGCCGAGTTCGTCAACAAGACCGAGTTCGAACAGGGTGAACTCACGCAGCCGGAAACTGGACCTCAAAGGGAAATCTGCTCTAGGCCGTACCTAGGAGCAGCAACTACGGGCTCTTGGCCTTACTACCAGGAGGGGTCCTGGCATCGCTGGGAGCAAGGACGCTATTAGGTTGGAGGCCATCTCTAATAGGTCGTACCTGGCAGCTTCGTCTTGGATTTATTGGATCGAACCTTCGAACTCGATCGAACACGAACGCAGAGACCTTCGAGAGCTCAGAGAGCTTGAGCTTTTGCAGCTTGCGGTTTTGGCCCGGCTTGCAGAGCGAACGCAGAGCAGAAAGGAAGGATAAAGTAATATGCAAGAAAATGAAATGGAAAATTAATTGGAATAATAAGTCTAAAAAGCAAGTAGAGCTCAAAGTCTTGCGCCGCTCAGCGGTTTACGACAGCTCTGTGCGTTTTTCGTGCCCTGCACGGGAATGCATCACAGATCTCAGTTTGGCGCTCCTCAGTGGTGTGCTCTGAAACAGTGTGCTTTTCCTGGAGCGCGATAAGATGTCACTTTCTTGAACAGTAACATTCATGATTCTTTGTTTTCAGGAATGATGTTGAAAACGAAACTGGGTCAAATTGTCCCATTCGTTCCCTCAGTGAACTTGAGTATGTCCTTTCATTGTTGAAAAAGGAATGACAAACCATGCGATTGCTAGACTTCTTTTTGAAAGAACAAACTAGTTTCTAGTTCATGCCATACAATTTTTGGGATCACACCTTTATCTTTGAAAGGACACATAAATCCATTTGCATACCGAAAGGTACGCAGTTTGATGCACATTCGAAGAGTTGAGGCCTTTTTTTGTTAAAAGATTGTTGGAAAAGGAAATTGACAGCAAATTGCAACTCTTCCGGTTTCCACGTTTTATGTTGCTACAATTGTGTTTTTGCAAAACTCGGGGAGGTTGATGAATATTCTACGAAGGAATTGGCCGACTTCTTGGTCGATCAGGAGGACAGTCCGCTTGTCGAAAATGCTCAAATCGCCAAGTCTAGTGAAGATTCCCCAACTAGTTTGTCATATCAAAAGGAAGGGGGGAAAGAAGAACTTCAGAAAGGCTGAGAGTTTCTAAGAACATTTTACATCGAAGGTGAAGTCCCTAGGGAGTTGCACCACATCGGGGCCGGCACTAGTTTGCAACTGTTGCACGCGCGTTCACTTGATGGGACATGGACAAGCTAAACGCTACTTTATTACCTGTGTCTTCTGTATCTTGTCAGTTCTTGTTTGTACACAGGATGATCGAGCATCATTCCGGCAGCATCCCCAAGTATCTAAGTTGTCTTCTTGCAAAATCGAGTTCGCCTACAGCCTCATGTCGAATGTCGCAGTTCGCAATTTGCATCTTCTAGCTTCTTGCTCCTAGTAGTACGGCCAGGAGCCCTTAGTAGCGTCCTTGCTCCTAGTAGCGATGCCAGGAGCCCCTAGTAGCTTCTTGTTCCTAGTAGTACGGCCAGGGGCCCTAGTAGCTTGCTCCCAGGAGCCCCTAGTTACGGCCAGGAGCCCCTAGTAGCGTCCTTGCTCCTAGTAGCGATGCCAGGGGCCCCTAGTAGCTTCTTGCTCCTAGTAGTCTAGTAGCGATGCCAGGAGCCCCTAGTAGCGTCCTTGCTCCTAGTAGTACGGCCAGGGGCCCTAGTAGCTTGCTCCCAGGAGCCCCTAGTTACGGCCAGGAGCCCCTAGTAGCGTCCTTGCTCCTAGTAGCGATGCCAGGGGCCCCTAGTAGCTTCTTGCTCCTAGTAGTACGGCCAGGAGCTCCTAGTAGCGATGCCAGGAGCCCCTAGTAGCGTCCTTGCTCCTAGTAGTACGGCCAGGATCTCCTAGTAGCGATGCCAGTAGCGTCCTTGCTCCCAGAAGCGATGCCAGGAGCCGCTAGTAGCTTCTTGTTGATAGTAGTACGGCCAGGAGCCCCTAGTAGCGTCCTTGCTCCTAGTAGCGATGCCAGGCGCCCCTAGTAGTCCAGGAGCCCCTAGCAGCTTCTAGCCAGGAGCCTCTAGTAGCGTCCTTGCTCCTGGTAGCGATGCCAGGAGCCCCTAGTAGCTTCTTGCTCCTAGTAGTACGGCCAGGAGCCCCTAATAGCGTCCGGCCAGGAGCCCCTAGTAGCGTGCTTGCTCCTAGTAGCGATGCCAGGAGCCCCTAGTAGCTTCTTGTTCCTAGTAGTAAGGCCAGGACCCTCTACTTTCCGTTGCTTGGCTTTTCAGGCAGATCTGCAAACACATGAAAGTCGTCGGATCCCGAGAGAGAGAGACACACATCCGGAAGAGTTGCTTAGATCGACACTGCTGGTACACGGTATCCTATGAGCATCTCAGTTTGAGTTTCTCGAGGTCTTTTGGCCACAGCCCAAAAGGGCAAAAGCTACTAGTTTCCCCAAAAGTCTAGGAGCCAAATCAATCAAGCGAGGGCTTTCCACACACGGGGAGCTTCCTTGAAGAAGCCTGAGCTTTTCTGCGTCCTGCTACTAGTGGCGGCCTACTCAATAGCTTCTTTCAGACTTCTTTCAGACTTGCTACCAGCGAATAGCTTACTGTATACCCCCGCTTTAAAAGCAAGATGTCGGTCTTTGAAGGCCTCTCAGATCGTGCGAGACATCGCTGAAGCGAGTCCTGAGCTTTTCTCCGTTGAGCAAGACCATGCCGGAGACTGAGACTCGATGCCTATCCGATAGTGAGAGTGAGAGTGGATAAAGAAGAATTCAAATTGCAAAAACAAAGCACCAATAATTGTTTTAAGATGAAGTTCAAGGGGAATTTTATACAGTAAGGGACCACAAGGGAGAAAGGCCAAGAAACAACGCCTTGGTAATTCAAAGTGCATTGGAACCTCGGGTAGAAGAAGAGAAGACTACTAAAAAATTCAAGTTTAGAGAAGAGAAAACAAATAAAGAAAAATTACAAGTAAAAAGTATTTTTATTGTCTTTGAATGCTCCTTAAAGAGCCTGGATGAAGTGGCATGGCTTGAGCACAGAGTTTCATCAAGAGCGAAGCTGTCGCTCGAGCGAAGCCGCGCGAAACCCGGCGGTGTGTGCCTCTTGGCAGTGCAGGGGATGTCGAAAACAACACATGTTTTGTTGATTGTGTTCTTGTTCTTTTTTCATGTAGTTTTTTTCTGAAAACAAGTGTCTTATATACGTTGCGCTTGTTTGTCTCTTTTCAAAGAGGTCGCCCTCAAAGATCCGAAGCGGAAAAATGCATTGACCTGACACACCGGCGCAGATTGTCATTGCGTTTTGTACGGACGAGAGACTCATTCACAAGTACCACTAGTCAAACATAGTCAAACAGACACATATGTTTGTTGTTTTAAAGAAGGGAGTTGAAAGGAAGAAGCAGGAAGAGACGAAAGGTCTGGCCCAAGGGTCTAACAGGAAGAACAAGAAACGAAGAAAGGAAAGACAAATCTATTTAAAGGCATTCTTGGTCCTAGTAGTAAGGCCAGGAGCCCCTCGTAGCGTCCTAGTAGCGTCCTTTGTTCCTAGTAGCGATGCCCTTTGCTCCTAGTAGCGTCCTTGGTCCATGGTCAGAACGTCTAGGAGGCCTTGAAGCGGCATCGGTGTGCTTCGGAGCCAGGTTTGGTGAAGCAGTTGGTGACATCGGAGATGCAGCGAGATGAGATCAATCCAGAGAAGGAGCAACAAATGTTTGGGTCATTCAATGTGTCTTTCGTCTTCGCGTTTCCTTATCACCTAAAGAGTCACCTACTAATCAATGCAGTGTGTTGGATGAATTCCATTTGGATGCAGAGGCTTTGGATTCCATTTGGTCCGCTGCACACTTTGCCCTCAAGGCGCCCATTCGAAGAGCTACTAGTAGCCTCCGATCGCTCCTAGTAGCGATGCCAGGAGCCACTAGTGGCGTCTTTGCTCCTAGTAGCGATGCCCTTTGCTACTAGTAGCTTCTTGTTTCTAGTAGTAAGGCCAGGAGCGCCCCTAGTAGCGTCCTTGCTCCTCCTGTGGTGCTTTGACAGGCGACGCCCAAAGAAGTGAAGAAAGTCTTTGAAAAAGTCTCACAAACAGTTCTCAGGAGCGCCTTTGACCACTTCCCGATTGTTAGTTCGCCAGTCGCAGTGATGTCGACAGGAAGACGCAAAAGGTGCCCAGAGGTTACTACCCGGCGAACATGCCTTTAGTACCTTTGGTTGCAGAGTTGATGCACAAGACACACCGAAGCTACACCGAAGCTACACACGGCGCAAAAAGGGTTCTTCAAAGAAGATCCACCTTTATTATGTTATGTGATGTGTTTTCTTCTCGACCATTCTTTTTCCGTTTTGTTCTCCATACTTGACCGAACTTTCCACTAACAAGTTCCTAAATCTAGGAACCAAATTAATATTCTGTGGTGCCTGAGAAGCCTTTAGCTTCCAAGATCTAGCTTCTGGTAAGCTACGTAAGATATTCTTTAGTCGATCTACCATCGAGTCCAGTAGTGCCTCTAGTACCTGGCCTCTCTGCCTTCACGGCCTACCCCCATCTTGTATACAGTACACAGAATGCGTACTTTGTCCAGATATAAGGAAATCATGAATATATGAACTTAGACCAAGAACGACTTTTATAGCACAGACACATGCACTGTAAGAACCTTTTAGACCTTTCTTGTTCCATAATTGTTGCTCTTGTCTTGCAGTGTTGTGTTTCTCCACCTGAGGCCTTAGCTTGCATCATAGACCGTGCAGTCTACCTGGCCAGACGGCAAAAACCAGGCAAGAACGTAAACGACACTTTTGTCGGGTATGGCACCCTGCTTGGCACTCTCCGAGGTGAAATGACTGTCTTGGAGAAAGCTTTGGGTCCAAACC